TCTTTGGAAAAAAATTATTTGAAGTGAAATTTAATTATTTAGTTTGTCCCATGTCCCATTAGATTGCATGGAGAGAGCGGGGTTTATGACCTATACTGGGACCAGCCACCTGGGGGCGATCGAAACGCAATGGCTTCACTTTTTAAGACTCGTGCGGCACACTTGGTGAAAACGGATAACCGTCAGCTAGGGTAACATCTTTCCATACAGGACACCGTTACATGTGTCTCGCAAAGTCACTTTTATATGTGCCTGGCTTGCCTATACCGGTTAACTGTTAACATAATTGTTAACTGTATCTTATTTTTTTGTCATGTATTGTTTTTTGTAAACAGATTTGCAGCTTTGTCTTTCATGTACAGTATGTCATTGATAAGGTTGTTGGTATTGTAAGATTTATCACATTTTGTGTTACTCTGAGATTATAAAATGACATACAGTTAAGCAATATCACGCGAGGAAGAGTGATGTTTTCCCAAATATTAGCACTATTACAAATGTTTATTGAATTATAGTATAAAATCAATATAACAAGAAGTAAAATTTCAGTGCGTTTTAAACACAATATTGTAACTATTTTCTCATTTTGCTCTATTTCGACGAAAAGTCCAAACAAAGCCATAGCAGAACAGTATCCTCTACAAGCAAGACACAGCAGCATTTCATATTGAATTAATTGGTTTCCGTTTGAACAGATTGGTCGAGTGAATGATTCACTTTATTCCTCACTGAATGAATCCGCCATTTGAACAAATAATTTAATGATGCACAGTAACTTGCCGCCACCTACTGGCTGTTTTACTTTCATATTGTTGCTATATTCATATAAATTTAAAACATTAATATGATAGTGTTATGCAATTATATATGCAGCTATGTAAATTAACACAATAAGTGTGCAAATAAATCACTGTGTATGTCAAACCCACCTGGCCTCTGTAACTGTCTCCTCTGTAACACTGTCATTTTCATTAATCAGTAGTCAAATCTAGCCTAGTCAATGCAAAAACATTACATTCATAATTATTTTACCAATTTACTAATTTAACGGTTGAAATAGTCGTACAGCAGTGATAGGCAGACACATATAACAGTGTCCTGTATGGAAAGATGTTACCCTAGCTGACGGTTATCCGTTTTCACCTGTACAAGTGAACACTGAGCATCGGCAGGTAATGAGGTGCATTGGAGTGACGTCAACTCCCCTCTTCAATACCATACTGACAGGAAATCAACCAAGAATATGGGATTCATGTGCTTGGTGATTAGCAAACCTTGTGAATGCTGATATCAGTGTCTGTTCATATTAAGAAATCCCTACAACATTATTTTTCTATCCGTGACCATTGTTTGTTATTCTGAAGACTTTGCTTTCATTTTAAAATTGTGTGCAATATATTTTTACTTGCGTTTTTTTTTTTTTTTTGGTTTCAAGCTTATTATTTTTTTTTATCCGTGACTGCAATACTTTTGTCGGAAAATTGATCCAATAAGGTTTTTCTCATTCTTTTGCATGAGGAATACATGGAAATTCACAAATACTGAGAAATGCAGACTGAATTTAGTTCTAAAACTATTAAAACATTTTGTTATTTGAAATAAAACTTAAATAAAATATAAATAATAGATGAAAAACTTAAACTGAAAATGAGAAATGTTGCCTTGGCAACTAACTGACATAAGTTTCAGCTGAAGCACTGAAATTACTGGAACTGGAAATAAATAGAAACTAAAATTGAACTCTAAAACTAAAGCTGAAATAAAAATAAACCTAAATAGTAATATAAAAAAGCCTATTTTATTCAACATTTGCGTCTATATTTATGATTATTAGAGTATGGCATTGGTAGCTTAGCAACGTGCTTAATAAATCAATCATCAAATTAATGATGAGGCAGGTCACCTGTGCGCTTCATGTGCAGGGTGCAATTTGTATGAATAGGTTCAATGCTGCCTATGTAGACAAACAGTGAGACATGATGAACGATGGTGTAAGATAAACATAAAGCAAATCTCGGGGAAAAATAAAAATGTCAAAAGAGAAAGTGGGCACTTAGAGAAATAATCCTTTCTATTTATGTAGAGCCGAATGAGTTATCAGAGACTTTGTTGACAACATTCTTAATGCAGATAAGAGGGTTACAATTTTACTCTCATGTGGCACAGACTGTTCCAGTCAGAATGATTTTCAATGCTTGGGATGTTCTTCCGATCTATTCATAGTACAGGAGAAACAGTTACGTCTGCAGTTTTCCCATAAAGCCACTCTGGCAGAAAAGTCAAAGCAGTTCAATGTCAAACCTCAGCGAAACGTGCCCAGAGATCCTAACTCACTCAAGCATAATGTGATAGGTTCAGTAAAATTGAAAATGATTTAAACAGACTACAATTTTTGTATTACTAACTCTCAAACGCTGCTATACAAGCTCTTTCCTAGGTGTCACTGTTGAAATCGCAATAGGAAGTGAACTGGGAGAGGAAGGAACAGCCTCTCTGCGGTGGCTAGTGCTCAAGGCTGCCGTGCAGGACAGCAGAGGAGAGATAAAGGTTAAGTACACATCTACAGGGAGAGGAAAGCAGCAGAATACAGCAGCCTCAGAGCCTGACCTTTTGTTCGGCGAATGGATCATGCTGATGGATGGATCCAGAGAGAGCTTACGGCTGCAGGTCATTAGCAACGAAACTTTAGCAAGGTGTTTTCTAAAAAAACACTCCGCTCGGAGGATACAGGGGCTTTATTTACAGAAAAAGCAGTGAAGCATCCTTTTAAGGCAAGTCGATATCACTCAGTATGTTTACATGCGCAGTTGTTTTTGTAGTAATACAGTCTTCATCTGTCTGGTCTAGAACACGATACAATGCGTAATCAAATATTTGAAGGATTAAATACACGTTGAGCATCACCTCTGTATTTTGGAGCCACTGCACAATGACAAGGGCAATGGTACAAGGCTAATGCACATACATTCTGGACAAAGCTGAGATACAGTCGCATTTCTAATCTGTTAGATTGACTCAAAAAAAAAACATACTACAGGTTTGACAAAGTACTGTTTAATCTGACTAAAAACAAACTTTTTAAAGTGCATGTAAATGGGGTCAGGTGTTTTTTTTAAGAGGACGAAGCAAACCAGGGGAAACTACCTCGGCACCGGATTACGTGGAGCGACTGAAAAGTTTCAGACGAAAATGAATGGCAACTGTGATGCATCCTCGGAACTTCCCTAACGTTACACTGTCTGTTTATACTGGAGAACATGGATGGACAATAATGGAACCGTGTTATCACAGGTCTGGCTGTATTTTTCTTCCTTTTTTTCTTGTAAGTAACGCATGGGGAAGCAAGCTTTTAAGGGGTAGGTTTTTTTTTTTTTTTTTTTTTTTTGAGAAAGTAAGAAAATGATTTTATTCAGCAAGGTTGCATTAAATTGATCAAAAATTAAAGTAAAAACATCTATAATGTTACAAGAGATTTGAGTTTCAAATAAATGGTGTTCTTTTGAAGTTTCAAAATCGACGCGTTTCAAAAAGGCGGGGCATAGAGGAGAAACAATAATGTACAGTATGTGGAAAATAATGTGTTTTTTTAACTTTAAACCGCATAAACACATTTCATTACACCAAATACACAAAATAATGTTCTTTTTAGCAGCATCATATGACCCCTTTAAAGATTAATGACAAGTATCACGGTATCTACAAAATGTATCACAGTATCCAGAAAAATATAAAGCAGCATAACGGTTTTAAACTTTGATAATGAAAAGAAATGTTTCTTGAGCACCAAATCAGCATATTAGAATGATTTCTGAATGATCTGACACTGGAGACTGGAGTAATGGCTGCTAAAAATTTGATATCACAGGAATTTATTACATTTTATAATATATTAATTTAGAAAAGAGTTATTTGCAATAGTATTTCATAATATTACTGTCTTTACTGTATTTTGATAAATGCAGCAAATACATGCAGCCTTGGTGAGCATAAGAGACTTTCAAAAAAATTTTTTTAAATCTTACCGACAACATACTTTTGAACAGCAGAGTACTTAGTGATTTTAAACACCTGACTGGTTTGAACCTTGAATATAGAGATTAAACTGGAAATTAACTATAGGCAAGTTGAAATAAAATAATATAATTTAAACATGAATAAATATAAAAAATAAAATAGCTAAATAATGACAAAATTGATAGAAATAAAATTTAAAGTTCATTAACTAGATTACTGTGCATATTTTTAAAGGTTGTAGCCTTTAAAAGGTGTGGTTTCAGTGTGTATTTTTAGAGACACTGTGAGTGAGTTTTATTATGGTGTGTTTGTGTTTTAAATAATAATCTGCCCTGTCAGCTGAGCTCATTTCTCATTTGTAAGTCGCTTTGGATAAAAGCGTCTGCTAAATGACTAAATGTAAATGTAAAACACACAGACACACAAAATGGAAACTTTCATTCAGACTGCCTTCATCTTACCCGCATCTCTTGGCTTTCCTCTAATCTCAGACATTCACTTTATATACCCCCAGATAACCTTTAGAGTCCATCTAATTTTTCTGATTCATAAGCCATACAAAATCATCAAACGGCCTGTTATAGTGTCTACCGCCTGTCGATTTCAGGAAGTGTACCCCCTCAACCATCACAGTATGACACACCAGGGCATAATTTAGCAAACATCAAACAGAAAATATTGTATCTCCTCTCTGTACCATGCTCAGCTCTTGTGCAATCATTTGGCAGATTCAAGGGAGCTTAAAGTACCTCTCAAATCTAGAAGACACAAATTTTTCTCCCGCTTCATAAAAAGCCACAGGGGGTATCAGTCCGACAGGGATAAGCTGGCTGCACTGTCCTTAAATGCCCTGAACTGGCACCGCAGACAAGAGAGTGGATGAATTATCATGGCTGGCATGGTTAGCCTTATGTGCCCTGGCCCCATCCCCAGAGTCCTGCTATCTCTCCCAAATCGCTCTCAGGAGCGCCCCCTGTTGGTGTCACCTTTTGAAGTGGCTGAGCAGGGTCCCAACCAGCTCTCCGATGCGGCTGTCCCCCGCTGGCACCATCCCTTGCAGGCACACGATTAGGTCCCGGTTGTCTTTGGTGTGGAAGACAACCAGCTGGTCTTTCCCAGGGGAAATGCTCACTCCGGTCACCTGAGACAGGAAGAAAGGGCGATGTGAGTTAAAACAGCACTCATACAGACACACAGCAGGCCAGCATGCACTAATAAGGTCTGCCATAATTTAGTTCTCATTATAGCGAACCTGCAAACAAAAGCCATGGGTTTTGGAGGTGGACTCACAGGAACATTATACATCTGTTGGTATATCGAGGTGTGGGAACAAATCATAATTTACTGTGTTACAACGAACAAGGTGAGACACGTACTTCCAGAGCAGATGACCTTCAGAACCAGTTGTATTTTAGTATAATTTATATACCATTTATTAATATTTTGAATTAGCTTTAATTTTATATTTTCAGTTTTAATTTTAGTTTACGTTTTAGTAATTTAGTTGAATTTTAATCTAATTTGTAAGTTTACATTTTTCATCTAAAGTTTATATTTTATTTCCGCTTTATTTCAATAAAAAAATTTGTTTTATAGTTTTAGTTTAGTTAATAATAAAAACACTGTTCAAAACAATAATTAAACATGGGGCTCATGATAACTAATGAGATATTAGATGTTTGATTGTGGTGGGCTGGTGTTTGGGACCTTGAGTTTTAATTCAACCAGGTGTCAGAACAGACTGCATAGATCAATGAGGTTACGTTATATCTAATATATACAAAAATAAATTTAAAATGCTAGTCATGCAGACAAGGACTTAACTTGAATACACCTCAACTATGATTATATTTCTATCAATATATGAATTAAATTAAATTTTCTAAATAAATAAATAAGAATAAAAGATTAATAATAAATGTTGCAATTCGACAAGAAAAAAAAAGAACACAGGCAAAGATAGAAAGGACAAAAAAAAATTATCAATCTCTTTATGGAATAGCAAGGCAAACTCAGGTTAGCAAAATGGAAAAATAAAAGAAAACATTCATAAAAAAAACATTCATAATTCAATAATTCATGTTTATTTCAGTTGCTCTGAAAAATATGTTTGAAAATGTTTAAAAATAATTAGGCTGCTTGTTTATAGTCATGAGCATTAATTTTCATGGTCACCACTTGACAATTTCTGTCTCAAAAAATGGCATAAACATTCTTTAAAAATATCTGAAACCAACATGAATAAAAAGATTCAATTTCCAAGACCTCATTTTAAAACTAGACTTCCAGACTTCCTTATTTGACCCCAAATCAATAGCAAGCCTCCATAAACAACTGCTTTTATCAAGATGAAACACCTGAAAATGTGATGCAGTTTCCTTGAGGTAAAATTTCTTTGTCTTCCATCCTCTTCATCTCGCTCTTATTCACCCAGATAAGGGCTAGGGTCCAACGAACACAGTGTGGGCTAGGGTAAAACAGCTAACAGCTAGAGGGGAATCGAGTGTACTGACTCCCCTGTGGATCAGTGTATGCTCAGGCAAAAATCACTAGCTGAATATATTAAGAAACCAAGGACTCTACACCACACTGTCAATACCATTTATCTCGCCCTCATTTATCTTAAAATAAAGCTCGGCTGGATGGGAACCATCTCTACCACAACTAAGACCTTGGTGATGGTCTCATAGAAAAAAGATGCAGGATGGCGACAGCTGGTGTGACCAATTTAGGACCAAATGATAATAGTCATTATGAGATGTTTGAGCAATGATATGAGCTTATAATATGAGCAATTTGTCACTTATGAGTAAATATTTAAAGAACAGTTACAAAAGACAAATGTGAGCAGTCAAACATGACACTGATGACCAGGCCAGAACAAGCTGTGGTATCCGCATAATGCTTGTGGAATTATGGATCAGGCACCCCTGGTCTCTCTAATCGGTAGGGAATGAGTCACATTACCACTGACTTCCTGAGTTCCATGTGATTGAAGGAATTGTATTGCTCCTGCTGTTTAATCAAATATTCATTATGTAAGTATCATGCAGTGGGATTTTGTGCACTATAAGGTACATATCTTCTTTTTCCCTTTCCATAGTAATACTGGTCAATTTATAATAATTTCTTATTATGCCAATAAATGACCCAAACAAACAGGATTCAGGAAAATAAAGCGAACATAAATAGGTCTATGAAGAGCAAACAGAGACTTCAACAGGAGAGAAGAGATGAAAACAAAGAAATCCTACAGAAGTGTGAAGACACACGCAAGCCCGAGCAGAAGGAACACACCGAGGAGGCAAATTTGTGCACATGCCGGAATGAAACTAGACATCAGCTGATCTCCCCGCCCGCTCCGTCACCATGACAACCCCATCCCCTGGGATGTTGGCATGACAACAGTGGAGAAGGAGACGGATAAAGGAGGAGGAGCAGCGTAGCTGAGTTGCAGAGTGTATTGTTTGGGGGGGGGGGGGTGGGGGGCGGAATTAACGTTTATTTATTTATTTATTTTTTGGATTATATCTCAGTAATGTTTTTTTCTAGGACATGGTTCCAGCCCAACCATTTAATAATGCAATGAGTGTTCTTGATATCCTTTTGTCTTTGAGGCGTTAGCTGTCACATAAATCATTCTATCCATTTCCCTGACCTGTGCGTTCTGTAACACTGGAGCAATAAATAAATGTGAGGGGCAGGAAAAGTTCAGCTGGGCTGTGACCTTTCCCAAATCAAGAGATGTTAACTGCTATTTTCCAGCATCCAGAAAGCAATCAGAGATTTATTTACATAGGCTATTTCTTATTCAACCCACTGTACATAGCAATAGCAATAAAACCCTTTAATGTTTCTGTTGTATGAAGAAATTTTTTTTTTATTTAATTCAACCATGTCAATAAATTTCATTTTGTGTCACTTTCATAACTCAATTCTCCCACTACTGGAGTTAAATTAGATTATTTATATTAAAAAAAAAAGTACAACTGTGTTTTAGTGCCACGTTAAAAAATATATAAAAATCTAAGATTACGAGATTAAAGTCATAATATTTTGAGAAAAAAAGTCAAAATTGTGAGAATAAAGTCCAAATATTTTGAGAATAAATTCAAAATTTTTGGAGAATAAAGTAGATATCATACCTTGTGCCATATACTCACAGGGACAGTATGCTTAGAAATAATATTTCACGTCTTCGAATGCATTCATCATTTGTAGTGCACCAGCCACCCAATAATAGCAATAAGCTTTGTGTGCTTTTTGTACTTTTAATATAAAACAAAGTCTCAGCTTTCAAATTCTGTCAGTTTTATACTGAAATACAAACAATATCTTACAATAATGTGTTTTTCACGCTCTTTAATGTAGCACGACAGCGTGCTGTATTCGCCTCAGTTTAAGCGGCATGTGAATCCATTATCTTTTCGATTACAATGAGACATTCGTTCCATTAAATTATGTTTTCTTTGTGAAAATTCTACCACCTACTCCGCAAAAACGTCTTTGGCATCCAACCTTTCATTCCTCACATGTTTCTAATTAAAAACAGCAATAAAACGTTCTAAAGGTTGAAGTGGGCTCCAACTCATTAACTTAAGTTATATTGTCTTTTCTGAGATAAATAACGTTACTATTCACAAGCTATTCACGGTATAATAAATGATTGGAAATAACATTTCACATTTTCAAATCCATTCATTATTTGTAGCGCGCCAGCCACCCAGTAATCGCAATGAGCTTTGTGCCTAACACAGCTCAGCTTTCAAATTCTGTCAGTTTTATCACAAAATACAAATTATAAATGTTTTTCCTCTTTATTACAAGTTATAGCACAATATAAACATGAAGGAACATCAGAAGGCATGAAAAAAACAGTATAAACAAATGTCTTATTGTAATCGAAAAGATGATTGATTCACATGCCGCTTAAACTGAGGTGAATACAGCGATCTGTCACGCCACATTACAGAGCATGAAACACATTATTGTAAGACATATTGTTTGTATTTGCTATAAAAATGACTGAATTCAAAAGCTGAGACTTTGTTTTATATTAAAAAGTACCAAAAGCACAAAGCTTATTGTTATTATTGGGTGGCTGGCGCACTACAAATAATGAATGCATTTGAAGATGTGAAATATTATTTCTAATCATTTATTATACCGTGAATAGCTTGTGAATAGTAACGTTATTTATCTCAGAAAAGACAACAATATAAATATAATATTATTTCCAAGCATACTGTCCCTGTGAGTATATGACACATCCCACATATATTCAAATCAGTTGCCAGGCCACCGGAATTTCTCCCGGTGCTCCCAATCCAGACCATTTGCATCCTCAATATAGGCTATACTCTCAAAATAGTCTAACTATTTATAAATATTATAAATATTGCTATCACTTAATTCTCGTTATTTTGACTTTATTCTCAAAATATTTTGACTTTATTCTCGTAATTTCAACTTTATTCTCAAAACATTTTGTCTTTATTCTCGTAATTTCAATTTTATTCTCAAAATATTTCGATTTTATTCTCATATAGCTACGACTTTATTCTCGTAATTTTGACTTTTTTTCACAAAATATTACGACTTTAATCTTAGATTTTTTTATTTTTTAACATGCCACTAAAACGCCATCGTACTAAAGTAAGATGTTTTTTGTAAAATACATTAATACTTCTATGCTGCAAGGATGCAATAAATTGATCAAAAGGGACAGTAAAGATTTATATTTTAGTAATACATGAGACAAATGGCTTGACCTGAGCCATTTCAAGCTAAATGGAAAAATAATTTAGTGTAAAGCTATGTTATGTAAAGTGACCGTGAATGAAAAGACTAGATGTTCTACAGCTTTAGCTCAAGATGAAATGTTTCAGGTTTACAGATTAAAATAGACTTTATCAACCCTGGAAGAATATAAACAGAATCCAGTTTGATTTAAATATGAGGAAAATATTTTATTTATATATTTGAAATAACTGTATTACAGTACTTTAATCTGAATAATCATCAAATAAATTCATACAACTGTTCTTAAAATTCAATTGTGACTTCTGGAATTGAAGAATGTGATTGTCACTCTCTTGAATCACCAAACTGCATTTGTACTCCAAATATGACTGACAATCATATTCTGCTTCTGTGTGAATGCAACTTATAGTATCAAAAAGGTAGATATTTACATTATAGAGTGGGATGCTCTTCATGGGCTTGTACTGCTTGACAGGGTCCATTTTGTAGAGGTGGCGATCAGTAATGAGCAATGCTCGGTCCTCTGCTTTATTGAAGCGATTGATCTATTGACAATAATATTGCATAGGTTAACATTGCATGCAAAGCAAACATCTGACACTGGAACAATGATTCAAATAACTGTCAGTCAGACATACTTTGCGGACATTGCAGGAGAAGAGGACTCTCATGAACTTATCTTTCCTCTGCAGGTCACTGGAAATAAGAGTAAAGGAAGACGCTGTCCCAGGACTGTCCTTTTTCTAAGATCAGAAAAAACTTTGTGTTAAACATTGTGAACTAAATGTATTATATAAATTATTTTAAACCAGATTCAACACTAACCAGGTAGTTGCCCTCCCAGGCTCTCTGCAGTCCTAGATCTGCTCTCTGCCCCTTCAGACACTCTAATGTGGCCACTTTAGCCCTGATCTGCACCAATTGCTCTGGGGACAGGTCTTTAATGAGCGTCCAGGCCCACCATCTAAAATATATTTGAATAAATATCTTAAACACAAAGCCATTGCCTGCAACATAAGTTGTAATTGTTACAGTATAATGCACACTGTAGCTTAAAAAGTCCACAGAAATATACTGAAACCAAATTGGAAATATGGGATTCAAAACTTTTTAAAAAGTGTAAACAAAGAAGCATTATCCCAAAAAATGAGTAAAAAAGTACTTTTCAACACATATTTGCATGTTCACGGTTGTCTGATACATGTTAAAGGAATAGTTTTCACCCAAAAGTTTTCATTTTTGGGTGAACTATTCCTTTAATGATCACATGACATGCATATAAACGAAATTAATATGTTTAAATATTTAATAACTTATTTTTTTAGCAGTGTTTTTACTGCTTTTTGTGTTTTAGGTTTTTTATTCTAAAATCTGTTATTTATTGCAATTTTACATTTTCATGATTTAATTATTAGGTTTAATTAATTATTAAGGGGCAAACCAAATGCTGAGAAATAATGAAATTCATGTTAATTTCAGGTAGATTTTTCACTCAAGTTGTTATGCTGATAATATACATTTAATTGAAAAAAAATTTTTGTAAAAAAAAAAAAAAAAAAAAAAAGCTGTAGGTGTCATACATTTACTGTGTGACTAGAAATCGAAACACTGGAAGTGTTATTTTGACTTTCGGGTTGTTTTCTGCATTGTTTTCAGGGTCAGAGCTCTTGTGAATAGATCTCAAATAGGACTTTGATCCAAAGATCAATAAGTGCTTCAGGAAACAACAACAGCCCTGTTAAATGCAAGAGAGCCTTTCCTTACTTAAACACCTCAAACAAGAGATACACAAGCCTATAGCAAAAAAATAACATTTCCTTGTCCAACAATGATAAAGAGCTGAAAGCATCGGAGTGAGTCAGAGACATTACATTGTTATGGTAACATTTGGCCAGACTGTGTTCCCCACCACATGGCTGACGTTAATGCAGCACAGCTGGAGTCATACATGACTAGCCCATGAGTCACACAGAGCACCAGTGAGCCTGTCCACTTCCTGTCCTCTGTAACTCTGACCTGTTATAGATGTTCCTCAGTGCCTCCTCAAACTTGCGCAAGACCTTGGGCGGTGTGGGCCACTTCACATGTTTGCCGTGATCCTTCATGCCACGGACATTTCTGAAGCGCCGGTTGACCTCACGGATGTATGACTTAACCTTGTATCTTCTGTATGCCCGGATGATGATGAGGGCAGCACGCATGCGGCGGTAATGCATTCTGGCCAGTGTCCCACGCCACACCTGTGTGAAAGAGTGAGAGAAAGTGTGAAAGATCATAATTAATATTGTTACCTACATTTAAATGCTATTTAACTAAAATAATGGATTACAATGAATATATATGACATGAAAAAATACTTACTACATTTAAATTTTAGACAAAAGACAAAAACTCAAAAGAAAAAAAAAAAAAAGGTTTTACAAAATGTACCGTAACCTGATTCCGTCTATTTTTTTTAGTTGTAACTGAATACAGTTACTTTTTTTCTTGCATCCAGATGCATAATGTCATTTCAAGTATTTCCGTTACTTCAAGTCTAAATATAGCAATTTTATGTTGTTTATTTGCGTATGAGAATACCCCTGGTAGAAATACAGTATACCATGATGCCATATATAACACATCTGCTCCCGTGTGGAATATAGCTAGACTCTCTAATGATACATATAATCTGATCTGTGGCACCCAAAGTGCATTTTCGAGGGTGTAAGGCCTGTCTTAGACATCAATAATAGATGATAATGGAACTCTTGGGAGCTGTTTGAGTGGCTCAGTACTCAGTAAAAATCCCCACCATATGTTGAATCCATTTTACATTGACTCAGGTGGGAAAAAGTGAAAGGAGCCTTATGTCTGGCAAATATGGCATCATAAACGTGTGGATGAACTTGAAGTGTTGTCCAAAGACATCAATTGAAATGTCCTTTTCCATAATACTGTCTTAAATATTATGAGGATGCATAATATTTTTGGTGACCTGAACTGTCACCACAGATGCCTGAAGCATGCATTACACTGTATTCAGTTTAAAATTCTGTGTAAAATAAAATACATATCAGTACTGTAGTGTGGGTGATTCTCCCTACATGGTCTCTAGTCTTTGCCTGTGTGCTAACACTGACCTCAAGGAAGAACTTTCCTTTGAGTTGCTGTGCTACTGTGACTGAACCCATTACGTAACTTAACTGTATGACTAATGCAGAGGAGTGAAGAAACAGCAAGGCTCCACATTCATAATCAGCAAATCTGCTACCAGAAGTCCTACATGCCCAAACTGATGTGATGTACATGATGTACACTAGTCATTTCTGAACGCAAACCAAACAATCAGTCTGAAAGAAATATAGCACAATTCAGAGAATAACTTATTGATATTATTGATTAGGCATTAATTAAAATGTATTATCGAGTGCATAATGGTAATTAGCTTTGCTAATTAGAGGTTGAAGGGTCAATTTCAAATCTTTACAATGCTGCATGTTTCCCAAATTTGCATTCTGGGTTTAACACTCTTTTTAAAACACTTTGAAATGTGCTTTAACTACAATTACCTTATTTTTTGTTGTAAAGTGGATAGAAATGAAGCTGATGATAACTGAAAATAAAAATAATTGCAATTTTAATGTCAAAAGGTATTTACGTATAACATAATAAAGAAAATGCTTATTACATAACCTATTGTTTTTGTCAGGCTAAACATCTGAACAGTTTCTGTTCAAGGGGGTGAAAACGATTCTGAATTAATTATTGACTACTAGACATGTACAGTCAGAAAATGCATGTAAATTTAAATCGAGTTGCAGAAACAACTCCCTTTATACATTTTGTGTAATGCACACTTAGCCATGGATTTTTATTCACACATGTATGTGTGTGTGTTTGTGTGTGTGTGTGTGTGTGTGTGTATACATATATGTACGTATTCATGTATTTATCGTCAAACTGAACTATAATATTTATAATTTCAGAGTAGCAGACAACTCTCATCATGTCAAATTAACAAATAAATGTTGCAAATACTCAATTTTACAAATACTACTAACAAAAAAATCTACGTCATGTTGATCATAACCAATATAGCAGAATGTTTGAGTGAAATCAGACTGAGCTGTTCAAATTGTGTTTATGTTTATTTAGACAGTTGATGACCGCACATTCGCACTGTCCATCCTGATGACATTGGAAATGCTTAACCAGTGGGGCAGACAGAAGGTCAGTGTTTGTTTTTAGAGAGGATAGTGGTAGTAGACAACACCCGGGGGAATGTGGGTAAATCAGGCCAATAACAGGACCTCAACTCACCCCGCCCCCCAGCCAGCTTGTCTGATCAACGTTTAACAACCCCAGCACAATTCCGCCTCTCCGCAGCAGATTTACACACTCATCAAAGCCAAACTGGATAAAGCTAAGACAAAGAAGTCTCACATAATAAATAATTAAAGCATAAATCATTCAATCAAACCCCATTGTTTAGCACTTTTTCTTTTTAAATTTTCTTTTCAGTGTTGCCAAAAATGTTTTGATTAAATAGAACAAGATCAACGTATTTTAATGACTGTAACTGCTGTGCAAACACAGCTTCTTCATTGAGGAGAAATGTAAAAATGAATAAAAAGAGGCTGTTTGAATCTCTCACCCTGCAGAAAACAGGACAAAGAAATTCTAGCAGAATCTATTCAGATAAGCCATCAGGTGTCAAAAGGCAATTACAGATGGCTGACAGAATGTGAGGTGACTTATCATTAATCAGAGAGGCAGGCAGGCAAATCCCACAATCCCTCAACACACACAACTTCACACACTGGCAGGACAGAATCACGGTCAGGGTATGTGACAGAGTTAAACGTATTCACAAAAGATCCTAACCACAGACAACCCCACAAGGCTCCTTTTGCAGCTGTCACTGGCTTCACATTTGACTACTGTAATACTTATCACATTTTTATATATTCTGAATAAAATGCGAGTGGTGCAAAATTAGGTTGCTGCAATGCATTTGCTAAAATATTCTGAGTGTTTGCAGCATTGTGTTATGTTATGTGGTTACGAAGGTTTTCTGGGTGGTTGCTAGGTGGCTGCTTACTGGCTTAAGACAATACTTTATACGAGTTATACTTAGAGTTAAGTAAAGTTGTTTACTTAAATATGAGAAATTGCAGCTGTGGACAGTAGCAAAGCATTTTATTTTTTATTTTTTTCATCTGGGAAACTTTTTACTTCACTTCACTCTAAAGCAAAATATACAAACATATAGTTACTCATTATTTCAAAATGACAAAATCAATGTTGCAATTATTGAATAAGCTGATTGTACTTAATGATTCATTTGCAAATTTGACTAATCCGATTGCAGCTGTTCTCAAGAGTGCATCTCCAGTTAAAAATTCAGACAAAATATTGCTACTTTTGTAGTTCTAAAGTGATTCTGAAGTACTGTAAAGATATATGTAAAACATGTTTTGATTTATATTTCTTTATTATTTGCCCAGATTAATGACCTTGAGCACATCTGAAATAGCTCTTTTCAAGGACAGATTGGTAAAGCACTTTCATTAGATGCAGTACATTTCCATTTCCCATTTTGCCAGCGGTGGCATGTCCCCGTTTAACTGCTGTCTCATGAGCCTTCAGGACGGGGATATTGCAATCGTACATCACAGAACCAGGCGTACATTTCACAAAAACCTATAGTATGACATGACAAGTATAAAATGGAAAAAAAGACCCTGTTGACCGTGCTGAGTAAAAGATGCTTCATTTTTTTCTATAAAACAGTGTTCGCTTACCACTGCAATCTGACAGCAAAAGGAAGAAGATGCTGCAGAAAAGATCTGAGCAAAAACAAACAATCCTAGAGGAGGCATAAGGGATTTATGGGAGAAAATATAGGAGATTTATACAGGGAGTCTGACATCTCTGTGCATTGAGTGTTTGTTTGCCTCAACAAATGCAATAAAATACACAGTGTTTGGCAAGTAGTCTTAAATCTGTTCTATCATTTCAGAAATTAATGATATGGGATTTAACTCCATCCATAAAATAAACAGAGAGCTCCTCTCACAGCAGAAACCACAACTAACATGGCAGATGATGTGGATGCTGGGGCTTGAATGTATTAAATATTAATTAATTAAAAGGGAGGAAATTCATGAATAATGTAGTAACTCAATGTTTGTGTTTTGTACAGCAGATCCGATTTGCTTCAAACTGCCTCTATTCCAAGCCACATCTTGCTGATGAACTGAACAGAGGGTCGTACAACGAGAGACAGCACAGCATCCTGCATCTGCCCAAAGGAGCTCTCTGGCAGAGCAGAGGATCCTGGGTATTTTCATCACCTACGGGAGAAGAGCTAAAGTGTAACGGCTTAGAAATGACAGTGGAGTGAGGGGGTGGAGGAAGGCAATGGCACAGAAAAATGGCTGGGAATCCGTGAAGGAGTGGTGGGGTGAGACAGACAGGAAATCAGTGAGGAGAAAGTGGGAGGTGAAAAATAACTGAGCATTGATTGGGGGATGGGGGTTCTTTTGGTTTACGAGCTTAAAAAAGATGAAAGATAAATGCATCCCCGTGTGCTATGCACTGAGAAATGAGAGACAAAGAATAAGGCGAAGCAGAACTCAGAGGCCTACAAACAAGGAGATTCATAGAGATGAGCGGTAGCATTTTTAAATTGGGTTCACTGGTGGCCTTTGGCACAAATGTTGGAATCGCTGGCAAAACTGGCAGACTTGGCAGAAGTCAAACTAGTCTGGCATATGCTGATAAATGGATTGTGCGTGAAAGAAAGATGATCCAAACCTTAAGACACACATGTGAACGGTTTCAGTGTTTAGGGCCAACCATAAGCTGTTTTTTGTGCAAAATAACACATTAGCGCCTGCCACTCACAGAAGATCGACACAGGTGATATCAGCTCTGCTGGGATGCTCAGTTATTGCCCGGAGGTATACAACGTGATTAATACACTGACAACATTCCCACAAATAAGTCTCCCCCCCCTTAGGGGAACCGAGATAAACCTGTGTCAGGATGACACCTTCATCCAGCTCTGAATCCATACAAAAGATCAAACAATCAATCTCCGATTCAGGAAGAGCACAGATTTAAACACTTTGATACGTGCATCTGCTCATGAATGTAGCAGTCCAGAGAGACTATGAGACAGAAATACTGAGCCTAAAACTGAGAGTTTGATCTTGAACGCAAACGTTGTGGAAAACTATGTCAGTTTGTGTTTATAAGCATCTCGATAAAGGGAACCCCCTGATAACATCTTTTGAAATAGCAAATAAGATCTTGCAACGGGGGAGTGGTAAAAAACGTTCAATGCGCAGACAGGAGCTGACAGAATATATGCTTTGATTTCTAATAACTGTCAGTCACTAAAGACAGTAAAGCAAGGTCGGGGAATGTACACTAAGAACCCACAATCATTTTGTGTGCCAGTGAAATGACACTGGCAGTCAATAAATCTGCCATTCAAATAAATCTGTATTCTCATGCTCCTGAGGAAAAATTAAGGTAGAAAACGTCCTGTAAAAATGCCACAAAGTAATACGTGTTGTGTATTCACACAGACAAAATAAGAAAATGCTGTGAGGCGGAGGGATTTGGGTGCCATATTGTTTTACTGTTGCCTTGTTGTTCAGTCTGCTGTGGTGTGAGGTCTGTTGTTGAAAAGTAATGGTGTCAATGAATCACAGGAACGTAGGGTGGTGCGGATATGGCACCTTGCTGTCTCTGAAGCTGATTAAGTGCGTGCATGAGTGTGTGTCGTAATGAAGTCTCAAGAAATTCCTGATCAGATTTAATTTTTGAAAACCAGCTGAACACCAAATGAAATATGATGAATGTCTTATGAAAAATTGGATGTTGTCCCATTGTGATTTTTGATTTGGAATTTCACATACACTATCATACATTTATGATGAATACTAATACTAATACTAAATACATTTATTCAGCAAGCTATATTAAACTGATCAAAAGTAAGTGTAAGTAAAAGATTTGTATTTTAAATAAATGCTGTTCTTTTGATATTTCTATTCATCAATAATATCATGAAAACAATCAGTTTCCACACACACAAAAAAATAATAAATAAGCAGAACAACGTTTTCAACATGGATAATAAGAAGAAATGTTTCTTGAGCACCAAATCAGCATTTTAGAATGATTTCTGAAGGATCATGTGACAATGAAGACTGGATTAATGGCAGCTGAAAATTCAGCTTTGCTATTACAGGTGTAATTTACATTTTAAATATATTAAAATATATAATTTTAAATCGTAATAATATTTCACAATGTTACTGCTTTTATTGTATTTTTAATCAAACAAATGCCATTTTGGGGAGCATGAAAACATTTTCAATGTTCAACATTTTCTTTCAAAAACATTTAAAAAATCTTACAGACCTCAAGCTCTTGAACAGTAGTGTATGATGAGGTTAGCCTTGAGGTCTAAGAATTTTTTTAAACGCATATCTCAGGGCTCCAAACAAAAAAATAGAGTAAGGAGCCATTGGCTCCTATAAGAAAAAAATGTAGGCGCCAAATTATTTTTTTAGGTGCCACAGAATAAACGTGTTTTATTTATTTATTTATTTATTTTTTACATTTCAATCATACTTTCATGTGTTTATGTCTTATCTTTTCTTGAATTTATCAGCATTTTAATTGATCTTGTAGATGACCTGGGAACTAAGGTTCACTTAAAGTGGGAACTAAACGTCTTTTCCAACTTGAAATATAGTCACAAAGAATTGTTCATGATACAGAATCTGTACCAATATCATGGACCATAACAAGCATCACTTGGCCACTGAGTGTAGTTTGGGCTCCTCCTCA